CGTCGCGCAAGCGAGTCGCCGCCGCCGCCGATGTTGCTGCTCCCCGCCAGCGGCAGCACGCGCGAGTACGTGGCGGCGTTCGGCGCGAGCAGTCGTGTAGTCATTGTGGTGTCGCAGCCTACTCGCCTCGCGTGCGTTGAGCTGGCGAAGTTCACTGCATCACTGGTGGCATCATCGTCATCATCATCATCATCCGCCGACGCCGCAGCCCATGTCGGCGGTCGCGTTGGGTACGCCGTTGGTGGTGACGCGTGTTTCTCGTCGGCGACCGAAATCGTCTTCTCGACACCCGGTTACATTGTGAATGCGCTGCAGCACCGCAGCGGGGCGCTATCGCCCACCACACTCGTCATTGATGAGGCGCACTGTCGCGACTTGGAGACGGACCTGCTGCTTGCGTGGGCAAAGCAGCAGCTGCACGGAGGGGGGCGGCCACAGGAAGACGACGGCTCCGCGCGGCTTCGTCAGTTGGTGCTGATGTCTGCCACACTTCCGGTAGAGCAGATGGTGGCGTACTTCACACCACGGGCTGTCGCAAATGGGGACGCGCGGCAAAAGGCGGCGGCGGCAGCAGCAGCAGAGGGAGAAGGCGAACACAACGGAGAAGCAAGAGCACGATGCGCCCCGCAGATTCTTCGCGTGGATGGCCCTGCGGTGGATGCGCAGCATGAGAGCGGCGACGCCAAAGGCGGCAGCGGCGGCAACTGCACTCGCCCGTTCCGCGTTGAGGAGTACTTCCTGGATGACCTTCCCGACGCCCTAGAGGCGTCAAGGATACTGCAGGCAGACACTCGGAAAGGTGCATCCTCGCCCTCCCACCCCGCCTCCTCCTCCTCCTCCTCCTCTTCTTCCGGATGCCCGCTACTGTCGATCCCGGCGCGGCGTGTAACGGCGTCGCTTGGGCACTTCTTTTCCTACACACGGTTTGGCGCTGACATTTACTCCCATCAGGCACGCGCGCTGGCGCAGTTCCTCTTGTTCGCCTTGCAGAGCCTTGCTGTGGCCTCCCAGAGATTAGCGGCTGATGGACGGCTTCACCAACAGCAGCAGCAGCAGCAAGAAGATGCACAACGGCAACACCCAGATAGTCTTCTGGTGTTTCTTCCTGGGTTTGCAGAGATATCGCTGGTGCTGCAGTCGCTGGAGATGCTGTGTCGGCCGGCAACTGTGGGCGGCGCACGTTTGTCCACCCAGCAGCCGAGCAGCAGTGGAAGTGTGACGTTTCTGCAGTACGAGCAATGGACCTTCTCCGTGGCGCTGCTGCACGCCACGGCGATTGGGAGTCCGCAGCAGCAGCTTGACGAGAGTACCGGCCCGTTCCCGCACCGCATCATTCTGTCGACCACCGTCGCGGAGAGCTCTGTGACGATCCCCAACGTGCGCTGCGTCATCGACTCGTGCCTGGAGCGCCGCTTCTTCGCCGACCCGGTGACGGGCGTCATGCTACGCAGCACCGCGGTGGCGAGCGCGAGCAGCGTGCGGCAGCGTGGAGGCCG